GATGGATGGGTGGATGGATGGATGGATGGATGGATGGATGGATGGATGGATGGATGGATGGATGGATGGATGGATGGATGGATGGATGGATGGATGAATGAATGAATATTTAGTTGTGTATTTCATTTTTGAAGGCACTAAGTGACGTTGCCCTTTTGACTGATCACGCGCGGATTTGATTTAAGATATAGATCTAACACGACCTCCTCCCGTAAAGCCTCTCAAGCGGTTGAGATCTCGTCTATCAGGCGGGAGGTCAGTGGTTCGAGTCCCGCGAGAACCCAACTGAGGCAAATTTTTTAATGTACTGTTTATTAAACTCGCATGTGTTTTATCAGGATTTAAAAACACGAGAGGCGTAGACGAGTGTATTTATACATGATAAATCATGATCTGCGAGTTTATTGAACGGCTTCAAAAACTGATGATGTATGTCCTCATATTGTACTGAATTCTTTACGAAATGAACCAAGTTTGATAGAGAAAATCCAAGTTAAAGTTTATGCAAATGAAGACGAATCTAAATCAGATATAAAATCACCTTCATGGTCATGATTACTATTGTGTTTCCTTCATGAATTATTAATGAGTTTTTGAACTGTTTATACACTCGATGTAGCATACGCTTTACATATAAAAGAAACTCTTGTTTGTTCTCAGAATTGACCTAGGCTGGCATATGGAAAATGAGTGTGCCAAGACAATACTGGATTGTCCATTCAAGGATCAGGGATGTTCAGTCCAAGTTGAACGACAACATGTCGATAAACACGCACAAGACAACATGGCTGCACATATGATGTTACTGGCCAAACAATGTTCATTGCTCACTAAAGATAACAAACAACTGAGGCAGGAATTAAACCAACTTAAGGTAGGAGAGTAGTATAGAATGAAAAGAAGTATAGCGTAGTATTAAATGTAATGCAAGAGGCAGTGTTTTTACCATTAATCATATCCTTTTTGCAATCACTACCAAATCATGCAATCTGATTTGTTCAAAAGAGTGCGATTAATACCCAAATCGCATCCTTTTGAGTTCTTAATCGCATCTTTTTGAAAGAACCAACCACAGAACTGAATTCTTATATTCAGCCAATCAGAGAAGAGAATGAAACAAGCCTTTTCAACGCGTTTACAAAGTGTTTTTCTTCTGTGAATTGACACATTTTCACACTTTTTGATAAGATTTTATAGCAAAAAATCAAAATTAAAATTGTATTTTTCATGTAGTCATGGAAGATAGCATTAACAGTTTATTGATGATGATGACATCATGACGAGCCTAGAGTTTCTACATTTTGAATTCAATTATGATAGTTTTCACGGAAATTCAACAAATGGTGATGACAGAGTGACAAGTGCTGCCTGATTCACGACAATGAATCAAACAACCAAGAAGCCATCTGCAACACAAAATTCAAGTTCTACAGATGTTCCAACTAATCCCATTTGTGATGAACAAAGATTTTCTGTTGTTACTGAGAACGAAATCGCTGAATTTAAGTCCAAAGCTGACAACGTAAACACTAAAAGATCCACGAAAACCTGAATGAAAGTTCTGTCAAGCTGGTGCAGTGCGAGAGGATTTAGTGACAAAATTGAGAAAATGAATCCAGTTGAACTAGACAGCATGCTGACAAAGTTTTATGCAGAGGTGAAGAAAGTAATTGGCGATGACTATGAACCGGAGTCATTGAAAATTATGCAAGCAGCCATTGATCCACACTTGACATACGCCGGCTACAATAACACTATCACAAGGTCACGCGAATTTTCCAAGTCACTGTTTTCCTGCGTGAAGAAGGTAAGGGCAAGCGCCCAAATAAATCATCTCCATTGTCCGTAGATGACGAAGAAAACCTCTGGGCCGAAGGAGAACTCGGAGATCACAATGGCCGTGCACTAACTTCCGTCAATTTCAAGAATTTAACGGAGCAATTGGGATTTCGAGGCCAAAAACATTAAAATGCTTACGTCGAGGACTTTCAGATTATCCAAAACACAGATGGCACTGAAAGTGTTAAACTCAGTGAGAAGCCCACGAAAACACTCAGTGGCCAAAATAATGTCAAGCTCAACAAAGAAAGAAAGAAAGATCCCGTACGACTATTCAAACTCTGGTTGTCGAAACGACCTGAAGGAATGAAGAACAACGGCCCCCTCTACCTTCAAATAATCAAACGACCAAAAATATCTACTGTTTGGTATGGTAAAATGCGAATGGGTCAAAACACCATCGGAAGTATCATGAAGTCAATGGCGATAAAATGCCTAGCCACAGCAAAGCATATTACTAATCACAGTATGCGTAAAACGCTAGTCCAGAAGCTGAAGAAGTCAGGACAGCCACGACACATCATCAAAGAAATCACTGGTCATGCTAGAGAGTCATCACTAGATGATTATGATCAGATTGACGAAGATCAGAGAAGACAACTGTCCCATATTATAAACGGTGTTACTTAAACTATCACTTCGAGTTCCACAGCAGCTTCTTTGAGCAAGGAGAACAAGCAATCCAATATCCAGCCATTCAAAGAAAGAAATCTTACTAGTTCAAGCAATTTCAGTCATTTTGAAGTCATGCAGGCGATGTCTCAATTCATTGGAATGAGTAATCAACAAAAACTTGATTGATTTACTTCTTCTTCTACATTAAATTGATTATTCTGCTCTCTTTATTGTGTCTTTTTCTTGTGTACGATTACAAAAAAGATATGATTGAATAAGTGGTAATTGAACTTTGTGTCGTGCAATTTTGTAATCACTTGTGTGATTTTGGTCCAAATTGCACGACACGAAGTTCAATTACCATCATTAATTTTAATTATTGATTATTAATTTATAAAGTTACAATCGTTACAAGTGGACAATAACCGACTTCCCTGACCTTGTTAAAGGACACCCCAATGGCTCTGCCATCATAAGCACTTGGTTTTAGTTACTACACGTTGCAAATTTAGTTTGAAAGTTCACCACAATGTTTCTGGATGTCAGTCAAGAATATTCCAAATCGTCACGTGCACATTAGGCAACCTGTGCACGCTCCAAGAGCGTCCGGTTGCAATTTGCAATTGAAGTTTGAGAAAACCCTATCGAGCCACCTTAAAAGAGTGAAAACCAACTGGTAACACCAACAAAGCAAAAGCACTCATGCTTACCAGTTTGTCTGTCCTATTTCAGGTTTCGTCTGGTGACTATGGTGTTGTTGCTACCGCTCTCTACGATTACCAAGCAAGTAAGACGTTAGTTGCCCTCAGTTGTGCAGCCTTTATTTAACTCTGATCAAATCCGTCTAAGAATCAGAGCAAGATTCCTTAAATTTATTCCCCCCTTTAATTTGCATGATTATATATAAAGTCATCAATTCAAAGGACGTTGTCGACCGGCTCAAATTTAAGCGACTGAACCTTTTTTGAGATCATGTGCACCCCCCTGCACCCCCCTCCCCCCATAAAAGCTTAAGGTCGGCTCATCTATCTCCATTTGCTTTAAAATTGCAAGATTTTTTTCTTGTGATTAACCAAGAGTACTCTAAATCTGCATATTGTGGCATTTCACCCATTATTGCTTCTTTTTTTTTTCGGGGGGGGGGGGGGGGTTCTGCAAATCATTAACTATTATTGGTTATCCCCCTCTTGTGAAAAATGTTCTTTACGCTGGCAGTAGAATGAACGGAACACCGCTTACGTGAAGGCAAGCTTACCAGGTATTTTTGCGAATCCAAAATTTCAAGATTCAGTTCACAATTACACTTACTGCACCTACGAAGGTTCGTCCTGTAAACCTGAGGCATAAGAATTGAATTGATTGAATTGAATTGAATACAGAAGTATATATACACACATAGGCTTTACACACATGGCTGACACGGCTATTGATCATCCTACAAATCTAGCTAAAAATCTTTCATTTAACTCCTCGAAAAGTCAATTCAAGTGGAATGCAGAGTACGAAGACCTCAAGAAATTCAGCTTGTGTAATATAGAACAGGATCAAACCGATTTAATGGCGGAAAACGATAACGGCTCTTGCAAAGTTTGAAACGATCACTTTCAAACGAACAAAAACTCTTCAAATACAAGTGGCATCTAAAACCGAGTACGAAGATAAATTTAAAGAGATTRTCGAGCATGAAGTAGAAAAAACTCTCATTGTCGATGAGCCACAAGATGAAGATCAAGATGAGAAATCCCACGATGAAAATACCAGTGACGAATCATCCGAAGACAGTGAAGACGAAGATGACTATCTAGGTAAAACTTAGTGTCCCTGTCGCTGCAAATTAATTGAGAAGCGATTCACTTCTGTACAGTAAGATCAGTACATCAACTGACCAAAATGAGGATGAAATATTTGAACTCCGATCAAAGCTTCGAACTGTTACCAAAGACCTCGAAGATTTAAAAACGGAACTGGAAAAGAACTAAAGAAGCATCATGACCAAAATTCAGGAGATATCAAACTTTATTTTACAAATTAACTCTTTTAAACAAGAACTCAAACAAATTAAATCAGAGCGAGACGGGTTGGCAACAACTGTTAGAATCTTACATCAGTTCCAAGGAAATTATCATAATATGACTGCAACTTCGAATCCAATCTATTCAAGAACTCAAGATTTTAGTGATGGCGCTAATATAGCTACATCCAACTGGAACACTAGCTATCCAAGAATGCAGGATGATCAAGACCTTAACTTTATCGATGACGCCAATATTGGCCATAACTATCATTCACATTCACGACCTGGTGACACGCGAGGAAGAGGAATTTTAATACTGCCCACAAGAAATCATCCAACAATACGTCGAACAAAAATGGGCCGCCCAACAATGCACAGAAAAATGCCTTGTCTAACAATGGTGAGTCTAACAATGACACTGTTACTACAGTCATTGTTGGTGACTCGATCGTGAAAAATATTCAAGGTTTTAAGATCGGACTTAAAACAAGGTCTCAAGTATTTGTCAAAACCTTACCCCGGTGCAACAACAGCGGACATGCATCATCATGTTATACCTACAATCCAAAAACAGCCAGACCAGATTATTCTACACACAGGGACGAATGACCTGCAAACGTCAGAACCCCCTCAGATTGCTGAAAACATCGTCGATTTAGCAAGAGAAATAGAAAATATGACAGAAAATGATGTTAAAGTTGCGATCTCACTGCTCACAGCAAGGAGAGGCTGTCAAGAGCAGATCAAAACGGTCAATAAACATCTAAAGAGGTTCGCCGTTCAGAATGGTTGGAGAGTGATTGACAATCACAACATAAATAAAGAAGACTTAAATTTAGGAGGTGTTCATCTAAAAGAACAAGGTACAACTAAATTATTTAATAACTTTGTTAGATTTATCAGCTCTCATTGAAGACCTGCCTCTTTGAATGCTGCATCATGCCAACATCCACTGGTTGATTTAGGCCTACTTCCTGATAAACGTGGTCTCAAATTAACTGCTTTAAATATAAATAGTCTAACAAAACATATTGAGGAGCTCAGAGTTTTTCTTGCTAGTTATCCAATCGATGTACTCTCTTTGAGTGAGACGAAACTAGATAATTCTATAAGTAACTCAGAGATCCATATTTCAGGATTTGAAATTGTTCGAAAAGATAGAAACAGACATGGAGGTGGTGTTTGTATCTATATTAAATCTTCGTTAAACTTTCTAGTTCGCTCTTACTTATCAATGCAAAACCTCGAAAATCTTGCAATTGAGAACCGTAATCCCCATTCAAAATCGATCGTTGTTGTAAATTGGTATAGGCCGCCCAACTCTTCGAATGACTGTTTTATCTCTCTAGAAACAATTATTGGACGGCTCGACTCGGAAAACGTCGAGTTTTATTTAATGGGCGATATGAACTGTAACATGGTCTCCCCCAATGACAACGCACGATTGTTATTAAATATTACTATTATCTACGATCTTCAGCAACTAATAACCGAACCCACTCGTTATTAACCCCACTATTATTGATCTAATGTCCACAAACTATTCTGACAAGGTGCTTTGTTCAGGAGTTGCCCACGTAAGAATTAGTGACCATTATCTAATATATGTCTATCGCAAATTAGCAGATTACTCTAGTAAAGGGCATAAAGACATAAATTACCGAAAATACAAAAACTTTGATTGTGATAACTATCATAATAACATTTCTGCGGTAGACTGGAATGACATTCAGGATGATTCTGAAGATCCCGAAATCATTTGGGTTTCTTGGAAAAAACATTTTTTTTAAATCGTCGAAAGACATGCTCCGATGCGTACAAAACGAGTACGTTCAAGGAAATCCCCATGGATTACCTCTAATCTCTAACAAAGCATGTATCACGGTATGTTAAAAGACAAGGCGATAAAATCCAAGGACCCAAATGACTGGAAAGCCTATAAAGAAATGCGAAACAAAGTAGATAATGTTATTAAACGTGCTAAAGAGCACCACTATAAGAATGCTTTAAGAGCGGCTGTCTGTAAATATCGACTGGGGGTGTGCAACATGGAAAAATCAAAAATCCTCAAACTTTGCCAAGAAATAGGTCTAGGTGAACTTTATTCACTAATCTAACTTTTAGCTCGATCACGATAATATTTTTGGCGAACGGCGCCATTAATGGTTTGACGGCTCTTGGGCCGGTTTTCAAGGACTCTTCACCATATACTAATTAAAAATCGTTCAAAAAATAACACTAAGATAAACTCGAATAATGAAAGTCCAGCCCTAAAAACATATAGTTGCTTATTATTTTGGTGGGTTACTGGTTTCA